GAGTAGAAACATGATAAAATAAGGTCATTGTCCCAAACAGGAACCAACAGAAAGATGTAGCCACATAGAGGAGGGTAGGCTCACGTTTCTGTGTGTCTAAGGATGTGGGAGCACCGAAGGGCTTTGAGGAACAGAGAGGATTCGAACCAGGTGACAGGGACAGGACAAGGCAGAAAAGCAAGGAGCTTTGCCAAATGCAGGGAAACAAAGGCGTCTCCAGGGAACAAGTAGAAGCACATTTTGGCCACAGAGTTCACTACCCTTTTGGTATGACCTGCTAAAGAATTTGATGAAAACTGTGAACCTTGTCCTTAGAAATAAAAGCACAAATTTATAATAATAAAAAAAAATGGTTGCATCGTGTCTCTGGGGATTCCTCACTCACAGGCAGCATGAGGAAAGCAATCCGGAGAAATTGACAAGTGGTGCTTGTGATGAGGACCGAAGGCTCATTTCTGGAGATGAGGTCTGTGCCTGACTCTGCTGGAAAGGAATGGAGACGCATCCAGACTGCTCAGCCAGGCCTGAAGGAGCAGGATACACTTGGGAGTCATCCACAGCTCTAAGCTGGATGATTTGATGTTCTGATGATGTAAGACAGTCTTTAAAAGGTAGCTAGGAAGGCAGAGGCAGGCGGACCTTTGTGAGTTCGAAGCCAGCATGATATATAAAGCAGGTTGCAGGACGGCCAGAGCTGTTACACAGAGAAACCCTGTCTTGAAAAACAAAACAAAAAACCCAAACAAGCAAACAAAGAAATAGGAGCTGGGGAATGAACTATATGGGGGGGGGGGGAGTTATGACAGGCCCTTGTTAGGAGGAGTTTGACTATCTCCCCCTTACACACATAGACACACACACATCATATATATTTAATGTAGGGAGCACTGGGGAGACGTTACAGATTGTTAAGGAGAATAAATGTTCAGAACTCCAGTTTAGGAAGATTGATTTTTGGAGTGGAGGTAGCTGGGGGGGGGGGGCAGTAGTTTATTGCAGTTGCTTTTATAATCTTCAAATCCATTCTACTTATTCGGCTTTTCTGTCTCTCTGCACCACCCACCATATGGCAAAGAGCCAAGCCTTTAGTAGCCAGTCCTGAAGTGAAAGCCATAAATTCACTCTGAGGTTCCTCTTGTAATGTCTCTATTCCACAACAGGTGGCGCCATTACAGCATTATTTACAAAGCCGGTGCTTTCTCCAAACACAGGGCTTCCCAGGGGAAAAAGCCGTTTTTTCAGAGGGAAGTCACCTTCTGAGGACAGTGTAGAATAGGAGGGGGTAAAGCTAGCTACAATAGAAGATTGATGAGCATTCCTTTTGTGTTTCAATATCCCAACTATGGTAGGCACCCTGAATTGATTTCTTTTTCTAAGCATTTAAATAGGGGAGGGCGTTTATGAGAAGCTGCCTTTCAAAGCAGGACGTTTTATGTCTTGTGAGAAGTATAGACTTATATTTGGGGAGTGCTGTAGCTTAGTTCTAGGAGAACTTCCGTTTGTAGATGTCAAGCAGAAACTTTAATCTGCACCAGCATTGGGAGCCCATCAATCTGCATGGCCTGTGGAAGGCCAGTTTGTGTCCCTGGGGAGCAACTGGTCCTCCAAGAGCCGAGTTTAGCTGCCAGGCTAAAGTTGTAGCTTATTTCCACAAAGCTGTATGTGCTTTGGCTTTGAGATTAAGAAGCAGCCTCTGAGAGGCACCTTAGGCAAGTTAGAGGTGGGCATTCCAGAAACAGGGACTTGTAGTGAGTTGTACGTGGTGCTGGGTTGGCCCCAAACAGAAAAGTTTAGCCGGAAGCCACAGAGGCTGATATGGGGTCGTGACCTCTCAATTAGAGTGAGCCTTCCTGAAGAAGGCTGCTGCCTGTGAGTGCAGCAGGAGCTCCATGGATGCAGCTTTGGGGAGCAGCCACCCACCATGGGGCAGGCTGCTGGTGACGCCTGGGGTTACTCATACTTCTGTAATAGCTCCCCTCCCGCCCCCTATTAAACCACCCAGGAAACACACTAGTTGTCGACCTGGGTGAAACTGTCCATCCGTTTGCCTTTGGTGCCCTCTCTGGGGTGAAGAGACGTGTGCTCACGAGCCGTCAGGCGAACTCAGACGCTTCTTAACCTCCCAGGCGTCTGCAGCGCTTTGACAAACTTCCAGTGCCACAGATTTGGAGGCGATGAGCGGCGCGGGACTGTAGCACCTGATAGGCATCCATGTACTTAAAACTCATCAGATAAGAAGTGACTTATCAGATGGAGATAACCATTTCAGTTCCAGGCAGGAAATACTCCAGAGGCTCCCGGAGGCATGGATGTTGGAAGTGCCAGCCTTCAGGGGTCTTTTCTTCATTGGTTTCTTTTGAGTTGAAAAGTTTCATTACACTTTACTCAATGACTCTTACAAAAGCCTGATTCTTACTCTTTAAGGATTAAATTGAAACAATGACCCTTTCTCAAGCGAATATATTCTTGCAGAATTTTGTATTTAATTTCCAGTGGTTGTGGCCTCCCAAAATTCAACAGTGGGGCCTGCTATCCACCCTGGTGAGAAACTCCAGCTGAAACCCACTTACCAGCAGTCTGAAGAAGAAACCTCAGAAGACAGTGGGAAATGGAGAAAGTAAAAACAGGAGCGAGGGGAGGCAACCTGTACAGAGTCTCTGTGAGATGCCAGTGTAGATTAAAAAAAAAAAAAAGGCAGAAGTGATTTCTGTGGGAAGATTTTTATCTATCTGGACTTGCAGAGAATAACTTAGCAGCTGAGGCCACAGGGAGGGTAGCGTGCATCATAAAAAAACTGGAGTGGATGGCGAAAGAGCTGAACCAGAACTTTCTGTGGAGTCTAAATGGGCTATACTGCCTCGGGGATTTAGGTCACGCAACTGAGAATCTGAGCTAGAGGGAGGAGAAAGAGAGCTCGCCTAAGGAAGTAGCTGACAGGAACTGCCTACAAACATCCTACTCTTCCTCCCCATCAGCAGGTCCAGACAGCCATCGGCTGCACACCCTCAGGAGATTCCCACCCACTCAGTGCCGAGAAAGGCCACGACCCAAACCCTCAACTGCAATCTCTTCAAACCGAGGAGATGAAAACTGACTAAATGAGGTTGATTTCTTTTTCAGGATTCTCTTGGGCTCTTTGAAGGTTCACATAATAGAGCAATTAGAAAGATGGTTTCTAACTAAGGCTCTTTTAAATCAAATCATTTCAAGGTTAGGTCCTGGCTTTTTCAAAAATCCACTCTGTGACCTTGAAGTTTTACATTTGTTTCTGAGCTGTTATGTAAAAACAGTTTCTACCGTTGAGTTGTTGGGAGATAAAATTGGAGCTCAATAACTGGTCATTGCCATGGTAATAGATGCTGAACGTAGAAACTGTAGCAGAAACCTCTGTCCCAGTCCTCAGCTATGGATTCTTGCTGCTCTCCTAAGGGCCAAAGCACACATCGCCCAGGAGCTGTAATACCTCAAGGCTCCCTCTGGCATTTTCTGAAATAGGGCTAGTCCTAGAGTCTTTTTGGCTCATACCTACTTTTGCTTAAAATAAAAAGGCCCGTGTGATCTTGAGGAGCTAACTATGCCCTTTCCCTTAATTCTGGCCTCAAGGGTAAGAGTTATTTATATAAGAAGAGATTATATTAGAGGAGAGTTTGTTCAAGAGACAGAAGCAGGTATCTGTGAGTCTGAGGACCAGCCTGTTCTATATAGTGAGTTCCAGGCCATCCAGGGCTACACCTGGTGAGACCCTGCCTCAAAATAAGGGAAGGAAGAGGGGAGGGGAAAAGGGAGGGAGGGGGAAAGGGAGGGGCAGTACAACACTGACCTGGAAACTAAGGGCTGGAGAACTGCCTTGGCAATCGGAGCGCTTACTGCCTTCTAGAGGCCTTGAGTGTTTCCCTGGCACCTTCCAATCAGCTCACACCTGCCTGAAGCCCAGCCCCTGGGAATCTGACATTGTCTTCTGCCTCTGTGGGCACCAAACGCACATATGCACACAGACCCATAAATAATAAGTGAGTCTCTAGGACCTTCCCTTCGTGGTTTTGCTTTCCTGGAGGAGTCCTTCACTGCCCTACATCCCCAGGTGAACTATAAAGAAACTAACATTTCCACAAGGCATCCTAGGAGTCAGACATTTTTCTTCCCAAGTTTTTATTCCTATCATATGCATTCTGAAAACCAAGTCTCAGGCAGTCAATTCAGTGTTGAGACTGAAGAGTCAATCCCACATCTGTGCCTTTAGCCCTCTTTGTAACAGAAGCAATTTTACATGCTGCACACACACACACACACACACACACACACACACACACACACACACAC